ACAACTTGCTTTCAAAGGGGTGTGAAGTCGGTCAGCAAAGTGCCTCCACTGATTAGGATGTGCAGACAGACAGGTGTGGAGACGGAAGGAAGAGTGCTGGTTTGTCCAGTCTGGTGACCCCCCAGTGGAAACAGTGTCTGTGTGGGGCAGAGGGTTGAGGGCCACCCTGACCTCTGACCTATGCACATGCTAGGTGAAGATTTGTGTGTGATTCCTCCCACTTTACTGGTGAACTGATGCTCCATGTTATTTCTTACAAATATGTGTGTTTACATGAGAAGTGGGCATCCTCGCTGATGAGCCAGGCCCCATCCTCCCTCCTGTGACAAGGGTGTGCTCATGAACAGCATGGAGGATGCCTGGCAATGGTGCTCACTGGGTGTGTAGAAAGATCTGGGAAAGCTGTGAGGGAAAGCAGGTCATCCTCCAAGACCATGTGGGGTGCAGGTGACGCCCTCTTCTGGGAGCATGGGGCCGTGTGCCGACAGCCCACTCAGATGTGGGTGAGCACAGTAACCACTGCTGTGGGTACGAGGGCCTTGCCTGCTGATGGTCCACTAAGATGCAGGTGAGGTGAAACCTGTGTCCTCGGGGCTCTGCTGCTGATGGCCCAGCAAGATGGAGAATGAGGGAGACACCCACTTCTGCAGTCACAGGGCCCCGCGTGCTGACGGCCCACTCAAATGTGGGGTGAGGGATGATAGTGATGCCCACTTGTGTGGGCACAAGGGCCACCTCTGCATGTGGGCAGGAGCTCCCCGGCTGCAGTGCTGGAATAGACCTGCCTGCTCCACCCAGGGCCTGTGGACACAGTGCCCCTGAGCAGATGTGCCTCTTGGGATGCACAAGAGTGGGGCCAGGTCTTTGATGTGCACCTCAGACTGAGTTTAAGGCTTTGCAGCCTTCATGTGGCCAGTGGGCACTGGACAGCACAGGCAGGGCCAGAACATCCCTATTGCTGGGCAGCCCTGTGGAAAGAACTGACCGTCACTTCATAGGGTTCTGTCAAGTCACTCTGAGGCAAGCTTTGGCTAATTTTTATGCATAAGAAACAAAAGACAAAGAAATGCCCTTCAGCCTGATATATGTTAAATATTTGGAATATATTAATTCAAAAAAATCTGTTGCTAAGTCTAATTTCCGTTCACAGGAAGCATTTTTCATATTTAAAACCAAGGAGCCAGAGCTAAGGTCATTACTGTGGATTTTGTTTTGGGGCTCGGGGGTGACACCTGCGTAGATCTAAGCGACAGGGGACACCTGGGGCTAGGAAGTCTGGTTGCCACGGCAACCGAGTACTAGCCAGCACCGTGACCAAGTGCACTGGACACGGAGGGTCACTGTGGGTGTGTGGGTTACACAGGTCACTTCCTGTTCCCTGAAGTGCCCGAGGACATCCTGAAAACATACATTAGCAATTTGTTAAATGCCTCATAGTTGGGAGCATATAATGTAAAATGATTTTATTTAAAACATGATGCCTTTAACCTGCTCTTTTGAAAATACCTACTTGCTAGAAAATGTGCCCCCATTCATGCTCTGATCTCTGGCTGGATGTGAAGTCCTCTGCAGCTGGCTTTTTTCAGTGGTTAGGTTCTGTCCTCGGACAGACGGGGCTCTTGTTCACGGGGCCTGCCTAGTTCGGTCTGGTTCTGGAGATTCCCGGGCAGACCCTGCTCTAAGCAGGTCTGTCGGGCCAGTGATCGGGGCACAGGAGGCTGCAGACCAGGCCAGGCAGGAGTGAGTGGGGCCCAGGCCAGGAAGGTGGGCAAGAACATGGCCCCGTTTCTGGGGTGGAGCCGACGTCAGTACCTCCCTGGCCTGTGAGGAGGGAGGATGGCCCCAGCCTGTCCTCTTAAAACAGGGGCAGCTCTGCCAGGTGGTTCTGACAAGTGGAAGAAGTTAGTGGACCTCAGCAAAGCCTTGTAAATGATGCCCTCCCATACAGGCACACGTGTGGTGCCTCTTGACTGTGGCTGGTTGCCATGGTGCGTGTGTTTGGAGGGAAATGACCATGTGAGCAGTCAAGGTACAGATTTCTGACCTCTGCTGAACAGGTGGGGAAGGTTGCTGGGTGGCCTTGTCCAGGTAAAGAAAATACAGAAATGCATCTTTTGCATAGCTTGGTAGATGGACACTCACTATTTGTAAACACCGGCAGAAGTTTTCAAATTTTGTCTTTGTACATATACATATATATTATACATATATATTTTTTACCTGAACTCATTTTATATTTTGTCTCAGTGAAAGAGGAAAATGACTCACCCAGTCTGTTGGTGGGTTGTGTCTATCACAACAGCGATGTTTGCAGCAGTAACTGGGCAGCAGGCAGCTCTCCCAAGTCCCGTCCGTGACAGCCAGGCAGACGAGCTGGCTCAGGGACAGTATTGGGGACGCTCTGCTCCCTGTGCTGTGCAGCCCCCCTGCAAACCCAGCCCGGCTCTCAGGAAGACATTGCAACAGAACTGCCCTTTCCTCACTTACCTGGGGCTGTGTGCCAGTGGCAGTCGGGGCTCCAGCGGCCCTGCCAGGCGTCCTCCAGGCCCGACCCTGTGCGGCGTTTCTTCGGTGAGCCAGGTGGCAGGCAGGGCACCCGTGCTTGGCCACTGCTCCGATCTCAAAATACACCTTTCCTTGAGCGGCACCCTGAGTAAACAGCAAGTAAAACTAAAACGAGGCTTGGCGGAATGGCTATGCCATGGGAGAGCATGGAGTGGCAGGAACAGCTTAGAGAGTCGAGGGTTTGTGAAGGCATGGCCAGAACCCGGAGCCTGCCTAGAAGAAAGGCTCTTCCCTTCACCAGCTGTGACTCCAATTCCCCCCAGACCTCCCAAGGCTGTGAGAAGAGCCCACACGTTTGAAGTGTGCACCGTGCCTACATTACCACAGAAATTACCCACCCCAGAGTCAGAGACACACAGGGAAGCGGGGCCTGTAGCCCTTGTGTTCGTGAACACAGACAAGGCCACAGCGTCCCCTGTGACTTGGGATCGGTGCACACCCTGAAGCCTGGGCGGGGGTGTGAGCAGGACCCAGAAACACCCACCAGCACAGAGGCGGCCAAAGTCAGTGGCCAGCATGCCACTGCTCCCTCAGGCGCCGCCCCCACCCCATACAGGTGCTCTCCAGGGCCTCCCCACCCACTACAGCAGGCTCTGCGTTTCTGCAGAGGTCTGGTGCTCTGTGACAGGGTAAAGTGCCGCATCCGTGGTGGGCAGCGTCACCCTCGTCCACATCTGGGGAGCTTTCTGATTCCCAGAGCTCGTCTTTGCCCTGTCAGTGCCTATAGACAGGGTCTGGTGTGCCAATCCAGAACTTTCCGTCCTGGCATACAACCCATAAAGATTAAGAAAATAACTTTTTAAGAGCTCAAGTAGTCTCCAGAGCATCATTAGGAGCCCCCGGGCGGCCGAGGGTGGGGGCTCCGTGCAGGAGTGACAGCCCGTCAGGAGGGAAGCGCTTTTCTTCCATTTTCCCTGATTTTAACGTGAAGCTAATGGGTTCCTACTTCTCACATGGATGGTGGCTGTCATTTCTGAAGGATCCATATGTGTGAAATTTAATTACTTTTTCTAAGTAACTATCCTAGTTTCAAGGAAGGTAATGTGAGGCATCAGTTGGTATTCTCTTTCTAGAGTGGTCATCTGGGCAGCTTCCGCCTCCGAAACAGTGTTTTAGATCGTCTTCCTCCTTGGTCAGCGGCGCTGCCTGTACTGTGTCGTCCTTCACTCTGGGCGCCCTCTGAGGCCCAGTGGCCCCTTGTCAGCTGGAGGCAGTGCTCTTCCTGTTGAGAGCACTGGCAGCAAGAGCCACACACCCCCCCACCCCGAGGAGCAGCGGAGCGGTGCCGCACTCATGTTGTTCATTCTGAAGGGGCCCGCCGCCCACCGTGCGCCAGTGCTGCAGTTGCCAGGCACAGGTCAGGCCTCTTGGTGGTGAACTTTCTGGATCTGCAATAGAAAACATCTTCAGTCTTCGCTTGCCCCTAAGTAGATAGGAAAGAAACATCGACACTTTTTACATCAATTTTATTTGGGGAGCAGGTGCCCCGGGCTAGGCCAGAGGAATGAGGGACCCCTCAGGTCCGAACTTGGGCCAGGAGGCCGAGAGTCCAAATTCAGCCTCTTTCATGGGGCTTTTCCTCAGACTTCACATGCAGCTGCCTGCAGACACAGGTCACGTGCCCCGTTCTGAGGCGTTTTATTTAAATGCTCAAACCAGCAGAAAGAGAGAACCGCCTGTTCTGACCTCTTCAGTCTATGCAGGCACCGCTTGTCCTGGCCAGTGGGGTGCCCAGGCTGCCCACAGACCACAAGATGAGGGACTGTGGCTGCCCTCAGACCTGGGTGCCATGGATGACAGCCAGCCCTGAGCTCTGGCCAACACTGCATGAAGGTTCACTGTCCCGTCAGGACCAGGCAAGACCCTGAGCTTGTCCCCACCCCATCCGCCGCCTGTCTGCGGAGACGTCCCGGAAGACAGCAGGCAAGCCAGCTGTTCCTCGGAAAAGGAGAATTGCACACGGAGCTACTCACCACCTAGACACTTTGCCCCAGCAGCCCCTGTGTCAGAGTGCTCGGGACTGGGAGCACCCGTTCCTCCTTCTCACAACGGGAGGTGTTCTCCCTTCAGTTTTATGTGGAAACTTTTCAGATGTGGCTTGTTCAGGGCTGGTCTGTTATTCGAAACAAGCCAGCAGCCATAGAAGTGAAAATGCCAGGAACAGGCAGGTGTAGCCCAGACTCCATGGCTTCCAGTAGGCATTTGCTAACTGTCACCCCCAAAGCCACTGGCAGACCCTTACACCAGCACCTTCCCCAAGGCACAGCCAGTAGGTCAGAGCTTTCCAGGCCCACCATGATTATTAAGTAGGTGTTTGGCAAGTGAAGGGCCAAGTGCCTGTATCCCGCCCCAGAAAGGCTCTGAACACAGGTCAAAAGGCACTTGGCTGTGAGAGGCACCTAGCGGGGCCCGGTGACTGTTGGGGTCGGCACTGGTTCACAGTCGTGAGCATGTCTCGGCAGGGTGCTATGCGCCGTGCCATCTGCAGGCACACGGACAGCCTCCCGGCCACAGGAAGCCGCGCAGCAGTGCACTGGGCATTTGTTTTTCTGGGAACGCCTCCCCACCACGCTGAAGCAGAGAACAATGGTGTTCTTGTGCAGGCAGCACAGCTGCCGAAATTCAACAAGATCCAAGCTAAGAAAGCAGAAGCAGGTGGGTCTGCAGGCGACCCTTTTTCCTCCCCAGCGGTGTCAGGGAGTGCTGATGGCTGGCGGGGCCAGTGGCCAGCGAGGCGGCAGCTCCAGGGAAGGAGGGGGCAGGTGGGAGCTGAGGGGTCCCAAGTGGGAAAACTGCACACCCCGGCTTTCAGGCGTCTGCTCTCCCATGCAGCCCAGCAGGGTAAGGAATGTCTCAGTAGGTTCAGGAGGAAGGAGGGCCAGGTGACCCTCTGCCAGTACAAGCACATCCCTAAGGTGACAGCATGTCCCATCCCTTGCCTACCCACCCTGTCACCTGCTTCCTGGCACTTAAACTGTCTCTGGGCTCTGCCATTTGCATATCACTTTGATTGGTGTCACTCAAACTGTATATTAAAATTCTGTTCATCACATTTGCGCAAAGTGAGGTGACAATTAGAGAAGGCAGGCCTGGCGCCCAGGGAAGTGCTCACCCACGTGGGGTCTTAGAGTTTACGAGGGGTTTGCGGGAGCACGAGCAAGGCAGGTGTGCACGGCCGCGCTGAGCGAGGGCCCCTGGCTTGCAGTGGCACGCAGGCTCCTCTAGGCGTTCTGGGGGCACTGCAGCCTGGCTCTCTCTCCGCCCGGCACCCCAGCTCCACCTGCTCTGCTTGCGAGCCTCTCGGTTCCTGAGTTTTCTTGCCACCAAGTGGAGGAAGGATCAGAACAGGTGGCCTTTGAGGTGCTTTCTCAGAGTAGACATGTCTGCAGACAAGTATGCTCAGAGCCAGGACCATGGCCACGTCCACATTCTGCATATCTTTTGCTCATCTATTCATATATTTGTAAAATGCACCCCAAGTGAAGTGAGTCCACAGTTAATGAAAATCACCTCAAGAAAAACTAAAGAAATTGTCATACAGAAATAAGTTTGTTTTTTCCAGGCTGAGAGAAGAGAGATTTGAAGCAAGTTGTAAAGCAAAGGTCTTCTGAACCATGAACTAGAAGGGGGGAGTTTTTGACTCAAAGTAAGCAATTGTTCTGTGTCTGAAATCTCATTAAACTAGTGTGGATACTTTCTGCACTTTTCCCTCTTGAACCTCTGAGGGAAGTCAGGGTAAGTGTCCAGTGCTGGGTGGGGTGCAGGTGGGCGGCAGAGGGGCATTCTGCGCATCCAGTCTCTCCTCCCCGGCCTTGGCCAGAGCCCCCTGCGGCTTAGCGCTTTCCTCTCCTGTCAGCCGACAGCTGTGACACGGGACCCAACGCAGCCTGGTGGTCATGTGGCTCCAGCTGTCTGCCTGCCTTGCCCCCCCAACATGTCCAGGCTTTTTCCTACTTCTAGAATTATCCCTCTTTTTTTGTTTATCCCTACCCGAGGACATATTTTTTCATTGCTTTTAGAGAGAGAGGAAAGGAGAGAGAAAAACATTGATGAGAGAGGGAAGCAATGATTAGTTGCCTTCTGTCCACACCTGGACCAGGGAGCGTAGGCACCTGGACTGGGGCTCAAACCCACAACCTAGGCATGTGCCCTCACCACCAATCGAACCTGCAACCTTTTGGTTATGGGACAACACTCTTAACCAACTGAGACACACTGGCCAGGGCTGGAATTATCTGTTGACAAGGGCAGGGTGTGTGCCAATGGTCCCAGTGTCACCAGCTCAGGACATGTGGCTCCACTGATGCCAGCCACCCAAGCAGGATGAGACTATCTGCCCTTCTGGGTGGTTACAGGTCACTGTCACCCTGGTGTCAGGCATGCCATTCTTGGGCACAGCTTTGCTGCAAATGACCTGTTCTCTCCAAAGAACTACTGATTTGGAACTGGGGTTTCAGAAATCCATAGAACATGCGAGAGGAAACGGGATCCCTACCCCGCAATCTTACAAAATGTTTCAAACTACAGAGAGTTTCAGTTGTGCAGTGAAACCCATGAGCCCCCCGCCTGGACTCTGGTTTGTCTTTGGCTCCGCTGGCTTCATCACACATCTGTTTATTTCTCCATTTAATGTTTGATGTACCTCAAAATAAGTTACAGGCCTGAAGACCTGTCCATCAGCCTTAAAACTGGGATTCAGAATTTCTGTAGGTTCGTATGTCTGTTGGAGGAAGGAACTGAACAGTGAGATGCACAGACCCTGAGGTGCCTCAGCCGAGCCTTGGCCAGCGCGCCCGGTGACCCACCCCCTGACCAGGCGCAGACTCCGCGTCCTCCAGTGTCCCCAGCTCGCCTCCCCAGGCAGCTAGCTTTGTTCTGGTTTCTTTCACGTGCATCAGTTTTCCTTATTCTAGAACTTTCTGTAAATGGAACCACAGAGTATCTACCCTTGTCTAATGCATCTTTTGTGTAGCATATTAACGGGAACTTGTGCAACACGCATAATCAAGTGCAGATTCCTTTTGAAGAGCCCTGTTTACAACCGCCTGAAACCTGTTCTTGGTTCCTGGTGTCCCAGGGACAGAGTGAGCAACTGTTTCCACAGTAGGGGCCGTTCAGGGAGTTTTTAGGAGAACTTGGAGTGCCATCTGCTTTGTGAGAACAAGAACTCGGGTGCGCTGCACTCAGCTGTGTTTCCCACCCAGGGGCAGGAAGAATGGGCTAGCACTCCCCACACCTGAGCACCGAGCTGCCTGCCATGCAGACTGAGCCCACATGGGGCTGGGAGGAGGCAGTTTCACCTGGGGCAGATGTGGGCCATGCTGCCTGTACCTGTGACTCTGCGTTGCTTTCTCCCTCACCTGGGGAAGGTAGGGGCTGTGTTACCTGTACCTGTCCTGCATCTACCCTTGGCTTCCTTCCTTACCTGGGGACCTTGTCACCTATACCTGTAACTCTCCCTGGCTTTCACCTGTATCTCTCCCATGCCTTGCTGGGGCAGACAGGGACCAGGGTCAGCTTTGCATTTAGAACCTCACATGCAGATCTCTGGCCTCCTCGATGCACGGTGTCCATCCCGGTGAATGCCCCTCAGGGAGGAACCCATAACGCCATGACTGCAGACACAAGCCCACTGAATGGACGAGGCCTCCCCAACACCCATGGGCAGCGTGTGCTCAACAGGAGGCCATGTCACATCCTAGTGCCCTGAGATGGACAGGAGGCAGTGGTCTGAAAATAGAGGGCTTGGCCGGGGTGGCACAGTCCCATGGCGTGCCTTGACTGTGGGCTGAAATGCCCCCTCAGTCACTCCATCTGTCCTGAGTTTGGTGAGGCTATTTCTGTAGACAGTGTCCAGCTGTGGCTAATGTGGCCTTCTGTTCTCTGACTGTCACCACTTAGGATGGGAGTCTCAGCTTCTGGAAACAGGGTTCCTGGGGATTTTCCTGTGCCCTCTTTGGACTCTGTCTCGACTACCCAGGAAGACCCCTACATCCCGGATTGTTCTGTGGGGCTTTCGGTGGCTGATTTTCAGAATCATGCTGGGAGCGGTAAGTAGAACTTCTACGTGCAGTATTTTGGGGGAATGTGCTAAAAATGAGTCACCTCACTGTCCTCACACTGGCCGGGCTGGGCCAGCTGAGCCAGTTCTGCCCCCTTCTGTGATGTCCAGTAGCCTCTTTCTGAGCCCTGGAAACTCTTGGCTTCACTGATCCCTTGTGGTGCTGGTTTCTGTGCGGAACGACCACGACTGGCCTGTTTCACACAGAGACCCCCCGGGGTGGAACCTCTCAGTGCTCCTTTCTCACCACCCTTCCTGGGGGTGTCTGGAGTGTCTGAAGCATTTCATATCACTCTCAGTCGGTAAAGAGGACACCATGTCATCTGTAATTCACAACCACAGAAAGCCGCACTGGCTTCCCTCTCTCTCTGCCCATTAGTCTGTTCTTTCGGAGCCGTGCTCACTGGGTTTGGGGTATGTGTTCAGCTGTTCCCTTTCCTCCACCGGGGCCCGGCAGTGCCAGCTGTGCACAGCGCGGTGCTGCTGCCTGTGTTCTTCTCTTGCTCTCTTGCTCAGCCCTGCAAACTGTGGCTCCTTAGCTTCTGTCATCTGCAGAGCCTTTGAAAGTGCACATCCTGCTTTTAGTCTCACTAGCAGTTGCCTTAAAGTGTTTCAGAAACATTTCCGAGCCTTAAAATCAGGAGTGATGCAGTTCCTTCTGACTTCAGACTACAGACAGAGAACTTGTCAGTTTTCTCTTCTTTTTCACTCTCTTCTTTTTCCTACCCTTCATAAATAAGATCTTGGTTGTTAATTAAAATATCATAAAATCCTGAATTCTTTTACATCGGAAACCCTGTCTCACAGATATGTTAGGTGTCTGTTTGCTTTAAGTTTTTCCTCGGGGGACGGTCACAAACCTGTAGTGTTGTTGGGGGGTGGGGCAGAGAACTTGCTCCTAACCCACCTGAGAATAAGCTGCTCCACCCACAGAGGCAGCTCCCCATGTCCCGTCAGATCCAGGCGGTCCTCTGCCTCCCCTGCTCTGTGACCCGGCACTGTGGCTGTCTGTCCTGCTCCTGACCAGACTGGGGCCCTGCATCCCCTCCTGGGGGCAGCGTCCCCTTGCCCCCCTGACTCCGGCGGGCCCAGCCGGTCCTCTCACAGAGTCACTTTCTTCACAGTGTGAGTAGTCAGTGCGGTGAGGTCCCGTAAAACAGCGTGGCTCTCCCATCCTCGTCGGTGTTCCTTTGAGTTGTGCACCGACACTCTCTGGAACAGTGCACACTCGTGCACGTGCGCTCCCTTGTGCCCTCTGCTCAGAACGGCACTCACAGCTCTCTGTGGCTGTCATTGACGTGATGCCCTCATTCCCTGCTTTGTGCTCATCACCCTGCCCTGTCCTCTGCAGCCCTGCTCAGCCCCTATGCACTCATGCCCATGGGCTCCTCTGTGGGGCCAGTCTACTCGTATTCAGTTTTCCTCTCCCCATGCTGCCTTTGCTTTTCCCTGGTGTCACTGTCTTTTCCAGACAGCCCTGCCTGAAGTAGGGCGGCTTTAGCTGTACCGTTTCTGCCTCCAGCAAGGTTTCAGGCTTAGTTTGCTCTAGGAGCCACCTGTTCATCTTTCTGCTGGTCCAGGGTATCCATAAAGCTCTCCTCCAAAAACATAGTTCACACGAATGAATCTTTTCCTGTCAGCCTTCTCATATCCGACTTTCATACCCTTGCATATGAATGGAATAGTGTGAGCTCTGAACCAGCACTGACGGACCGTGGCTCTGTGGAGGGATGACATGCTGGTCACTGCACGGAACTGGAGTCCTGAAGGCACGCACCTCCCAGTTCTCTCTGTTACCTTCAGGAGCCTACGCACACATGCTTCAGATTCCCTTTCTGATAGCAGAGGGCCGTCTGGTTTGGGTAATTGTCAGGGGCCTCACGGCACTGGAAGCAGCTGGATGCAGAGGGACAGCTCCACCTGGGCAGCAGGCCCAGGGCCAGGGCCCAGTGGACTGATCATGTCCACTTGCGGGATGATGAGCAGGCCCCCAGGAGCTGTGGCAGCACCAGCCAGAGGGGCAGACGGGTGTGCAGAAGCCTGGAGAGCACTCTGGAGCAGGCGTGGTTGGTAGGGTTCTTGACGTGGGCAGTTGCAAGTAGCTACAGATACTAGAAAATGCTGCGTTGGGGTGATTATGGGTCTAGATTGCACACAGTCCAGATGTGATGCTTTCTCTGAGTTTATTTTCCCATTTAATGGTTGCTTTTAATGAAATTTTGAAATATTAGTTGTCTGCAGTTTCTTGTCCATCTAGGACTTGGCTTTGGACTCTCTTATTAGCTGGCTTTAAAAAGTATAAAGATGTATGAAATGTTTCAAAGGACTTTATTGGGGACCCAGTGGAATATCGCAGCTCTGTCATGTGGGACACGTAGAGTGAGGGGCTCCCAGTGGCGGGCAGCCCCGGTGTGGAGCTCTGGGTGGTGGATCTGTCAGGCTGTTCTGTGCAGGGTTTGTGATGTCAAGAGTTGAACAAGTCCCCACCATGCCTGACAGAGTGCAGTGGATCATTAGCACATTCTAAAACACCTTTTATGGCATTTTGATTGACTGTTAGCACCAGCTGGGTAAGAAATTATCAGGTGCACTAAAAGGTATAATTACTTGATTTAGTCTGTATGTTGGATATTATTAATCTTCCTTCAGTGGAAAGCAGAAAGTAGAGTTGACTTGACAAAAAAGAGTGCCAGCAGCAAAATGTTTATTTCTCTATGAGGAGAGAAACCACAGTAGACCTGGCGATATTAAAATGACTGTGGATGAAGCCCCCTGTGCTTCTGCTACTGGGTCAAAACTGGTGCCTGTTCTGAACATTCAGAAGTGACTGTGGGTTTTATCATCTGGCAGTGGTTCAAAAGACAGACGGGCTCTTGTAGAGCTCAGTCTCGGAGGGAACCCCAAGGCCATACAGGTAAAGGTGCTGAGCAGAATGAAAGGCAACCACACAGCCTCTGTGCTTACAGAAAGGCTGCTCGCTCTTCCAGGGAGCCTGAGATGGCATTTGTATAGATCTTGTCCTTAAGGCTTCTATGTACTCAGCCCTTATGACCCCCTGCAGTGTTGTGGGGGGATATGAGCAGGGGTGGGGAATATTGGTGGAGAGATGGCCCAGGCCACCCTGCTCTCTGGAAACAGCTGGACACTGGACACAGTGCATGATGCAGCTGTTCTCATGTTAGACAGCACACAGTGTGGGATGGGGGTCCAGAGGGAAACACACGAAGTGAGCCTCTGGACTACCTGGCTCTCTGGGGACGCAGGGGCAGGCAGAGGGGGACACACAGGGAGGTGGGCGGCCAGGGAACAGGCGGAACAGGGCAACCTTGCCGACTGTTGGGAGTGGAGAATGATGGAAGGCAGTGGGGCTTTTCTCACCTCGTAATCCTGCTGGAATTCCCAGCAGGGTACAGAGAAGGGGACTGTATGCACAGAAGCTCCAAGGACACAACATCACTTACATAGCAGTCTCATAAGAATACATTGTGCTAATTTAATGATGAGAAAACATCAGACAAAACCCAACAGAGGAATATTCTTCAAAATGACTAGAAATTTTTTTGCAGATTTTTTATTGATTATGCTATTTCAGTTGTCTTAATTTCCCCCACCCCCTCCACCCAGCACCCCCCCACTCCCTCAGGCAATCCCCACACCATTGTTCATGTCCATGGGTCATGTGTATAAGTCCTTTGGCTACTCCATTTCCTATACTGGACTTTACATCCCCATGGCTATTCTGTAACTGCCTATTTGTACTTCTTTATCCCCTCAGCTCTTCACCCACTCTTTCCTAAACAGTCTGCCAGTGTCCCATCTGGCAATCATTGAAACACTTTCCATATCCATGACTCTGTTTCTGTCATCTTGTTTGCTGAGTTTGTTTTTTAGATTCAGTTGTTGATAGATATGTATTTATTGCCATTTTATTGTTCATAGTTTTGATCTTTTTCATAAATAAGTTCCTTTAGTATTTCATATAATAATGGCTTGGTGATGATGAACTTCTTTAGTTTTTTCTTTTCTGGGAAGCTTTTTATTTGCCTTTTGATTCCGAATGATAGTTTTGCTGTGTAGAGCAATCTTGGCTGTAGGTCCCTGCTTTTCATGACTTTGAATATTTCTTGCCAGTTCCTTCTAGCCTGCAAAGTTTCTTTGAGAAATCAGCTGACAGTCTTCTGGAAACTCCCCTATAGATAACCAACTGCTTTTCTCTTGCTGCTTTTAAGATTCTCTCTTTATCGTTAATCTTTGGCATTCTGATTATGATGTGTTTTAGAGTGGGCCACTTTGTATCTATCTTGTTTGGGACTCTCATGCTTCCTGAACTTGCATGTCTGCTTCCTTCACCAAATCTTTCATTATTTTTTCCAATAGATTTCCAATGTCTTGCTCTTTCTCTTCTCCTTCTGGCACCCCTATGATGAGAATGTTGGAATGCTTGAAGTTGTCCCAGAGGCTGCTTACACTATCCTTGTTTATTTGGATTCTTTTTTTCTCCTTGTTGTTTTGCTTGGTTGTCTTTTGCTTCATTACGTTCCATATCATTGATTTGATTCTTGGCTTCATCCACTCTACTATTGTTTCACTGTAAATTGTTCTCTATTTCAATTAGTGTATCTTTAATTTCTGACTGGATCTTTTCTATGTTGTTGAGGTCCTCACTAAGTTCCTTGAGCATTCTTACTACCAAGTGTTTTGAACTCTGCGTCTGACAGATTGCTTATCTACATTTCATTCTTTTTCTGGAGTTTTGATCTGTCCTTTCATCTGGGCAACATCTCTTTGTCTCCCCGTTTTGGCAGCCTCCCTTTGTTTTTTGTTTATATTAAGTAGAACTGCTTTGACTTCGTGTCTCAGTAGTGTGCCCTAATGTAGTAGGTGTCCTGCAGGGTCCAGTGGCACAGCCTTTCCCTATCACCCAAGCTGGATACTCAGGGTCCACCCTTAATGTGGTCTAAGTACACTCTCCTCTTGTAGTTGGGCCTG